CCCCCTCTCCCCCTCTCTCTCTCTCTCTTCTCACCCCCTTTCTTTCTCTCTTTTTTTCCACATATATTTTTTCACCACCGATAACAAGTGATCAGTACACGATTTACGCGTTGCGCAATCACTGTAAAACTATATAATTAGGCCGCGCGATATTTAGATAGATAGATCGCGAAAAACATTGTCGTTTATGATGCAAACTCCAAGAGAACATTAATCCATCTTCCCGTTTCCAAGTTTGACATGAGAGATTTGGCAATTATACTAATACATTCATTACTGTTCATGTTCTTCAAATTTTGAACACGATGACAAACGATGAATCCAAGTAATTATTACACATAATCACTACTGTTAATTTTTTTACTGTGAACTGCTCGGAAACGAGGTGCTCACTGAGTACGACCGAGCTATAGAAGTACTCTTTACTGCGCACGGAGCAATGTGTGTGTGTATATTTCGCATTGCAACATACTTATGAATTAGACATACTTGTGAATTTATTTATGAATCGTATCAAATCATCCAAGTCAATTTTGGATTCTCAATATTTTATACTTGTGATAACAATAACACGCAATAGAGTAATCAATGAACGATTACTGCCGAGTCTATAAACACTCTACATGAGTATTTTTTTCGCGAGCCATTTATAAGCGCCGTTCACAGTCAGAAGATTAATTAATTGCTGTCTCGGCGCTGATCCTTCTCGAGAACCGTGACGTTCGGTCGACCTGAAGCTCCGTAGAAACTGTACGTATGCATATGACACCTACGTAAGATGATGTCGCGAAAAGCACCAGTTTCTACGAAGCGACACGATGCACGCTGTGTATTTTGAGCGCTCAAAGTATAATCTTTGCGTAGTGTGGTCAAAACGCACACTATGATACTTTTTTATAAATATATTATTACAAGTATAGATAATTATATCTATTTTATATTTTCTCGCGATGAAATATAGAAATTGTAGTATATATGAGATAAAGACACAATAGTTATAAATAAAGTAAAATGTTGTTTCGCGTATATCAGAAGGATACAAAATTAATTGATTAATTGATTTTGTTTTAAGTATATGGAGAATAATCCGCATATACTGTGTAGAAATAGCTTTTGGCAGAGAATCCACGCATCTGCGAATCAATGCGTGATTTGCGTCAATATATATATATACAGGGTATCTCACACTCTCCTCCGGGAATTTTGTGGGAACGTAAAACAGGTTGCGGTAAACATAAAAGTCCTATACCGTTTTGCGATATTCGCAATAATTATCGAAATATTAATTGTAGAAAACTTGTAAATGATCTTGCAGAATATAGTAAATAAGTTATAGTAGCGATGACTGCCATCGTGTACTTATACTTTAGGTCAAATTGAACAAAAAAGTCCTCTACCATTTTCCAAATAATCACATAGATTTTTAATTATTAATTAAAGAAGATTATTGCACGATTTTGCGTGATAATACACTCATCTTCTTTAATTAATAATTAAAAATCTATGTGATTATTTGCAAAATGGTAGAGGACTTTTTTGTTTAATTTGATCTAAAGTATAAGTACACGACGGCAGTCATCGCTATTATAACTCATTTACCATATCCTACATGATCATTTACAAATTTTGTACAATTAATATCTCGATAATTATCGCGAATATCGCAAAACGCGAATATAGGATTTTTATGTTTACCTCAACCTACGTCCCCACAAAATGCCCGGAGGAGAGTGTGAGACACCCTGTATATATGTGTGCGTGTGTGTGTGTGTGCGTGCGTGCGTGCGTGTGTGCGTGTGTGCGTGTGTACGTGTGTGCGTGTGAGCGTTCGAGCGTGTGTGTGTGTGTGTGTGTGTGTGTGTTTTGCGTGTGCGTGCGTGTGTGTGTGTGTAAAAGCTACATTAATCCTTTATATGGAAGACAAATTTGAAGAAAACAGACAAATTTCAAGAAATGTTTATATGTTCAAATGAAGTAAGTGATGTTTCTTGAAGTTATACTGTTTTCAAAATATCATTTTGAAAACACATTTTTTCCAACCATTATCATCTAGTGGCAAAAGTCGGAACTAATAAGACACCGACGAATAAAACAGAGATAACTAGATATTGCTCCAAAGCAAAAATACTAAATAAATGCATCGTTCGTTCTTGCATACAACTCATGAAAAAACGATGTTACTTAAGAGCAATATTACCAGATAAAGGATTAAGATCCGAACATACACGCGACAACATATGTTTCCATATATGAAGTAATAATGCGCTGTATTCCGAGCTATTAATTTATATGTAATATAAATAAGCAAGCTCTAATAAGCGGACTCTGCTTGCGGCCGTTCATCGAATTCACGTGTCAAGCAGCAATGTGGATAAAGACGTGCCATATACTAATTAGACATCTTGATATCAGCTCAGCCGTTCGATATGACTTTAATGTCGCACGCGTCAAGACACACATCAAGCAGATCGTTTACATTCCTGTGAAAGATTAAAAAATGCAGAATGGTCAAATACGTTCTTTGTTCGTGAATGCTTGGTGGTCTCTCAGTTATTCTTTTCTTCTTTTTTTTTAATTGATTAATTCTTCTCGTGTGCGATGACCCCAGAATAAAGTATTTCGTAATTTTGGTACTAATTGATGAGATGAAAAACTGGATAAGAAACTGCGGTGCGATTTAATGTTAGTAGGGATAGCAGCCGTGTCGCCTTTCATTGCGATCGCGTCTCCTTTCTCAGTTGTTCTCGATTAGTCGCTTTTCCCTTTTCCGTTCGGTATCTCGTTGTTGCTCACTTTCTCCGCGACGTCGCTCGCTTTGGCCGAGTTTTGAGTCGGCGACACGCCGTTTTCCTTCTTGGTAGTGTAAGCGTTATTGTAAAAGTCCGCGAAGAGGAAGTAGAAGAACATCGCGTTCGGCAGGATCAAAATCATCGACCATCTCGGGTACTCGCAATCGTAGAACAGCAGTTGTATATTATGCAAGAAGGCCAGACAAAATTGACCCTGTCGAATAAACAAATGTTGCGTTTAGTTCATAGATACGCGCTATGTTCGCTTGTGCTGACTGATCGATCAAACGAGTGGAAACGAACGTTACGATTTCATGTGTACGAAGGAAACAATTAAAAAAAGTTTCCGGCAAATCTCACTATGTTAAAACTTGGTTAAAATTCAAAAATAAAGTAATGCATCTGAATTGAGACTAACCCCTTTTCTGCTTTTTCCGCCTCGTTCTTCTGTTTATTTTTTAACGTGACCAATGGAACCATTTGACCGGTTTGATCGAGCTGAAATCTCATACTCTCTTGAAGCGAATCAATAAAAATGTTTCTGATTGAATCAATAAAATAAAAATAGATATCAATAAAAGAAATCAATAAAAGTATTTCGCCAATGAGCAGTGCATATGTTCACTAATTTTTAATAAAAATACTTCTACTTTATTCTCTCATTAATTTTAACCAGTGAAAGTAACATTTTACTGTACAAAATCTATAATAAGGTCCCTGAGGGTAATATCGCCAGATTTTAATATGACTAATTAGCTGTAAAAGATGTAATTTGCACAGAAAAATTCAAATCAGATTAGTATGTTTTTCTTTATATGTTATTAGAACACCTGACACAATTGCCGTTCTAAAAGCTGAAGCGTGCAGCTCTCATTCTATGAAGTTTATGTGTTTGACGACAGACGCTTCGTACTGGGCTCCGGTAAGATTGTTATTGTTCTCATGTTTATTAATTTATAATATTAGTTGGATAATTGATTAATATGCAGTTCTTTATGCTGATTCTAATAACGATATCGAAATTTAGTTTACTTTAATCAATAATGTAATATTACGAACATTTTTATGAAATGACACGTGTTACTAATATGGCCACTCTTGGCTATATTATCAACCTACAGTGCCATAACCTATAATGCTATATATGATTGAGTATTATTAAAATATTTTTACTTTTCTACTTTTAAATATAAATCCTGATCTTCCAAAAAAGAAGCGTGGTGAATCGACACAAGAAAATCTGTCCAAGGAAAATTTGTCTTACACAGTATTTTTTTGTAACATGTTTTTTTAAATAAATTTTACTTCTTTTTTTATAAAATTTTATTACTTCTATTACAAATTGCATTAATTATGATTAATGGTTGAAAAATTCAATTTTAAAGATATAAGAAAAAGTGACCATATTATCTTCGTATGCTTTTAATATGATCAAAATGTCGATTTTTTAAAATGAGTATTTTTCTTATGATTTGAATTGAATGTCTTCTTTCATGATTTTTTTCTAATTGCCAAAGGTCCAAAGTAAACTGTAGCGCAAGTGGATTTTGAAAATTCCATAAAATAACAGCTGAAGAATTTTTCAAACCTTAGCATGGCCATATTAGTCTTAGGGACCTTACACGAACTTGTTACATGCTGTACCAAATTCAACTTTCTGCGTCTGTGACGATGGAATTAACAGTTTTCCATGCGTCTTATGTGCAATGGCATTGTCAAAGTTTGCAAAAAGCAATCAATGGGAACAATTGCTACTACTAACTGATCCCTTCAACGAAATTTTATTGATGGCAATGCTATACTTACAACTGAACCACCAGTTATAAATATAGCATTTCAGTGAAGAATATACTGATTACGCTTTTGAGTGTAGACATCAACTCGCTCAAGAATCTGCGAATCGCCAGCGCAGAGCATGGGTGAAAATCTCTAGCACGGTAACAGCCAGAAAATCGGTTCTTTCCGCTTTTCGGGAAAGAGATTTCACCGGCAGCTCGTGCGCAATTCGTTCGTCTCATTACCATTTGCAGTGTAGTGATGTACTTCTTCCACCAGAGGTATTGTTGATACTGAGGTAGTAATGCCGCCAGCAGATAATAAGAGTACATGATGATATGCACGAAACTATTGATGATTCCTGCAAGCAAGCACGTGCCGAATCAGCGCTTAAACGATTGTTGTAACATGACATGGTGACATCTCGCGTGTCACATTACGAGGAAGATTGAGGAAAAGTGCGACGCGTCGCCTTACCTTCCTTCTGGTTCTTTTACGCACCTATAAAGATGCCGTGGCCCCCGGGATAATATTTTGTGGCGCCCCATGACGCCATGGGCATCACAGTGTGATGGTACATATGGAGAAATGTGATTTGCCTTTCCTTCTTGCGCAACACGAAGAACACCGTGTCCAGCAGTTCCGTCAGTTTCGCCAGAAAATAGATATAAACTCCTCTCGCAACCTAGAAATATCGCGCAAGAAGTAATTTGTTTTTGAGTAACGACGTCGCCCATCTCCCTCTCTTCCGTCAGCCAATTAGTGAGCACGTGTAAGATAAGAAGAGCACGCGATAACATTTCTTTAGTTATATGGTCGATAGATCATTAGCAACGGGAAGTCGGTTCTATCTAATCGTGGAAACGTCACGAATTAGCAGTACTTTTGTGGTTTACGTACTCTCAAGGCATCCGGCGAGTACGAGAAATCCACTGGCTGGCATTTCCAGTTGTAATCCTTCAGCCACGCGCCGTCCAAGCCCTCCAAAAACAACCAAATGCTGATAAGAACCTGCAGGAAGTTGTACAGTACTAGGACGTTTTTTAATTGATATGGCTTTCGGTGTTCCATATGTCTCGGGCCCCATGACAGAACGAAGTACAGGTAGCCAATTAAGATGCTAGCGGCGGGCACGGGCGACGATATGAAGACCCACTCTCTCGTCCGGGGATCTGAAAGGGATTTGTGCACAATGCAATCGCGTCTAACGGCGGCTGTTCAGTCCAACAATCCAAGCTCGATCTGCGCTTTGTATACGTTCAACTATGTTTACATGTTTTCTTATTTTCCATTGTAGACCGAGTCTTGACAATAACTTTCGCGTCTTTCCTTCTCCGCGTCAAATTTATCTTCGCCCCAAAGTATCACACGAGAAAGCCTAATCTCTAAGGTGCATTCGTCATTATTAATAATGACGCGTGTTTTTAATTAGTCAGCATTTTCCCGACTCCTTTCGCGTGCGTTTAGGGAACAATTGTTCGCCAAAGCGCAGTGAAATTGTACATTTCATCGCATGGCAAAATAAAAATCATCACTCTTCTTCTTTTCTTTTGTTATGCTCTAATTTTAACTTTAGAGAAGATTTCCATGAAAATACATGCTTGACTTTTTTCGAGGACGCGAAACGAGGAACACATCCTGTATGGGGAGTGAAAAAGTAAGAAAAATCAAGTGTTACGCTATTATTGAAAATTACGGAATCGAAATTATTATGTGCGCGCGACTAGGTTTTATTTGTGCCCACCGTGAGCAAGAAAGTACATGAAATTACGCCGCACTACCGCGAATAAACGTGTAATTATGTGCAGTGAACGCCCTGTGCGCGTTATTCTTATAAACCGATCATCAGTCATCTTCGGGATGTAATAAGTCTTGTGTAATGCGAACTTACCAGATAAATCGTGGAACACATGGTGGTAAAATCGTACGACGGAGTTGTTGTAGATGTTAGACATCCTGTCGGCCGTCAACGACGCGCTGGCGTTCATCGAGAAGTCACCTGAAAAACCAAGATTAATTTTTAAAAGAAACATGACTCTCGATCCACACAATGGTAACATATTCTCGCGTTTCCAAGATAAATGTTGTAGACACGCAAGTTTTGTACATATCGAGCGCACGCGCGCGTGCACGCGATGACAATTCGCACGAACGCACAATGACCCAAGATCTCAAATTCGTGGTCAAAATATGAAATCGTATTTCAGTTTAGACAAAAGTTGGTATCCTGGGATTTATGAGGTCGCTGATTACGAATCTGAGGTAAAAATATCAAAAAACAAAATGGCAGATCTAAATTTAATAAATAATTTGCGTTATAGAAGCTTAAATGTTTATAATTAAAGATGAATAAGTTAAAAATTAACTTGTGCTTATTATATTATATTAACATTGAAATAAGAAAAAAATATTACAAAATTTCTAAAGGCAGGTAAAAGTATTAGAGTACTTAGATACATATCCGGACTTAGATACATATATTTACATTATAGGAGCTAATTTTTGTCATCTGGATTTTCATTAGACATGTCAGACCTTTTTTCTATTAGAGATAACGTTCGTCCTCTTGTAACTTCCATATTAACCATTAGGTGGAATTAATAATTTTATAACGTCTGGTCAAAGTTTTTAATTTTTTTGTGATAATTTTCGCAAACTTGCTATATATGGATCGGATATGATCATAAGCCGCAAAAACACATCCTCCATAATTTTTGCTCAAGACCACTTTCTCGAGAAGTCTTCTCGAAACTTTTTTATATATTTGTTCATTACTTCTTGAGTGTCTTCGGACATTTGTCATATCGGTAGTAAAACAGAGGCTACAATTTTTGGTCCGTGAATTAATATGATTCACGTCATTATTCACATCTTACACCCATTGGCATGAGATACGCCACGGATGTTCGTTATAACTATATTTATCATCCTAATGTCATCCAAAGCGCCTGACAAGATGATGTAGATAAACCAAAACACAACACGCATAACCTTTAGTACGAAATTCGACAATTTAAAAGAAAATTTGCTACTGCGTAAACACGAAAAGATCTCATACAAATATATCTGTTTATTCAAGGATCATAGCTCAAAAAAGGTCAGATATTTTTTTCGAGTGTTTGCTCGAAAACAGGAACTAATGGCTTAGGTAAATAGAACTCCTCATATCTCTGTTCGCTGTTACTCCAATCTTTCTTCATTTCGTACACGTTTGTCCAAATTAATACCGAGGCAAGCGAGTTTAATAACGTTTAATCTAAAGTTACACAATTTTTAAATATTGTAATCGAAACCGAACGGTATAGAAACGTGTTCATGTTTGCAACTCTATTCAAATGGATGCGGTTAAGATTTCTTCTCCTGCCAGCTATAAAGTGACCCTACAACTAGAGTGGCAGCTAGTGACAGCTGACCTTTGCAAATTTTGTAGATAAAAGTATAAACTACAAGCCCGAATAAGAAATTTAGCGGGATTTTGCAGGACTTATAACTTTTTGTCTATGAGTTTAAAATTTTCAGAGACATTTTAACCGTTTCTTTTCCGTAAGCAATATTGTCATTATATTATATTCAACCCGACAATTTCGGCTAATCCAATGCACATAAATATTCTACTGACCTCCAGGAACAGCATCTATCTTGCAGAATTCAAATCGGTTAATGTTTTTGGAAGTTAAGCACTTCATAAGTAGACCTTCGATTTTTTACTAATGCGCACAATATATGCTGCTCGAAAGAAGCCAACTTTGAATTGAATAATAAACTTATGTATAAAAGATAAACACTTCTCTCTTTTGGTTTTTAGTAGTCATATTATCACTATAGCAAAATCAATAATTGAAATTCCCTAGATCAAACTTTCATTTTTGGAGTTTTGACCACGTTTTCAGGAAATTGTACCACTGGGGACTTCGCGCCATGCGTGCGAGTGATCGATTTTCAAGTTTTCTTATAAGTATCGTGCATCTGCGCGTCACCGTTATGCTCAAATAAAGTACCCTGATTCGCGGTTCGCGATCCACCAGAAATTCCACCCTTTTACATCGCCGTTAAAGCGGCAAAACTCTAATTAGTTACACGCTACATTCTGTTGCACAAGATTTGCCGAGATTGCTGAAATCTACATTCTTTAGATCTGCGTGTGAGCTGATATTCAGATCGATCCAACGCAGCTGTAATGAGACAAAAAAGGAAGAAAAAGAAAGAGAAAAGACGGCTCATTTTCGCAGTCCGTAATGACAGGTTTCTCATTGCTACTTGCTCAATGGCAATGTTACGCCGTTGAAAAAGCACGCGCGATCGTGAACATTTAGCGTGACACGTATCCATCTCGTCAAGCCTACTTTTTTTCTTCGTTTTTTTTCTCTCCTTCCTGTAGTGCTAAGAGCGACGACGAATTACTTTGATGCAACGAACCGATCGACCGGTTCATGTTCGCCGATACTCTGACGCCTTAAACACCGCGCGAAAAGAGAGCGCGATTCTTTCACAAGCGAGTTGTTCCACTTGAACAACACTGTTGCTGTCAGATCCAGTGCATTTCTTAAAAATCCTACGGTCTAACACAATCCACCGCATGGATCATCTCCGAGTCGAATGGTCGGACGTGAAAAAGATAGAGGGCTTTTTTAGCCTCAATACATATCTTCAGGGTCGATTTTTAAGATTCTCATACTCTCGAAGCTTTTGTGCGGTGTGGAAATATGCTCAGCTTGCCTCTCGCGTTAGTGCCATGTCCTTTGTGAATTTGTTTCCTTAGTTTTGGAAACAATTCCACGAGAGATGCCAATCCAAAAGGCAAACCGAGAATCTGTTTTTTTTTTGGAGCAGCTCAATTGTTACTTATTAATACTTTATTGGAATTAACATTTTATGAATTTTATTCTTGAGAGATCTCCCAACAAAAGTACAGTCAAAATTTACCTGCTGTTTACATAGAACAAATTAATTCCACAATGTGGTGTATCGAGAATTAAGGGATATAAGGATTAAAGGATGCAAGGATGCAAATTCGCCACGACTCTGTCACGAGTTAACGTACATCGTCCGTTCGTGACGCGAATTGCAAATCCGCGAGACATTACTTCGCAGAGCTTCAAAATGATATTTCCGCGTGTACTTCTACGGCCGTACGGAGAAACGATTTAATAATCCCATTTTTTAACGATTAAATCTGATTTCCATCAATAATGATTATCGCGAATAACCAATAACCTGTATATATAAAAAAGTGGCCTTGTCATAGCCAGTTATAGCCAAATTGTCTAGATACCAGAAATTAGCTAAGATAAACAAACGGCTAGCAAATATTGCGATATCGCACATGTTTTGTATTTAATCAATATAGATGGTAGAGATAGAGAGTTTCTGTAGAGGCAACAATGATGTAACCTTTTAGCTAGTAAAATTGTTTCGTCACTTGATTTACACAAAGTTATTGCAAACATACATACTTAAATAAAGGATTACAAAAAATGCTTCGCTAACTCGACTAACGGAAGTGTTCAACAATTACACATCTCAATCGTATTAATGAATGAGTATTAATAAATCGGTATTAATGAATTCATATGGGTCGACTTGCTCTCCATTCTTCCTTAATACTCTCTTTGACGGACACTTTATCAGAAATATCCCACATTCCGCGAAATATAAAATCAAAACGTGAATTTAATATAAGTAGCGAATTAAAATATATTTGAGAAAGATATGTGTGTCTGACAAAACCTATAATACGAAAGAGAAAATTTTTACGTAGTATGCTTTCGAAATACCATCGTAATGTTTTTTTTACTTTGTTAAAAGTATTTTTTGTTTTAAGAAAGAAGCAAAATCAAATGACTTCACGTTTATTATCATATAATAACAGTCATCATCTCATGATGTTACTCGAAACTACTAGCCGATCAATAAAGTGTCGTCGTGGATCTCCTGAATTCTATTGTCCACATCATATAATTATTATTTCATCGCGGCCCTTAGCTCTAAATACAGAAAGAATTTCTGGCGGTAAAGTATATAACCTGAATCCAACATTCGATGAGTCGAATGCGGAATAGCAGACTTATTGAGAAATACGAAACGTATTTATCGAGGTAATCGCGCAAGTAATGCCAAGACTGACGATCAAAAAGGTGAATTAATATATTATTAGTACATACATTATTAGTAATATACACTTTTATTCTACAACAAATTACATACGTATAATACATACGATTGTAATTACAAGATTATCTATCCATTCGTAACTGCGAAGTCACCCGCTCGATCGATCGCTATAAGATAAAATCGTGACTGTTCGATAACAAATCGTCTAGAAGACTGTCTAAAGTCCATGGGACAAAACGCAATGCAACTGAAGCATTATTTATATTAGAAACCCTGTTTTTGTACCTCTTAAGTACACAGAGCGTAACAAATCTTAGAAGCTACGCGTGTCTTATTGTCTTCTATTTTAATGTAAAATTAAATCAGAAAAAGTATAGAAAAAAGTAAAAGAAGAAGAGAAAAAATTAAAAAGTAAGAAGGAAGGGGAAATCATACACGATGCTACCATAAAATACATTTGGTAATTGGCGCATTGATGCCAACTTAAAGCCATATTCTTTGGGCATAATTAATCTAATCAAAATTTAAAGGATATCAGGCACCACAGAAAAGCAAACACAGATCAATCGAACTAAGAGAGGTCGAATCACAAACGAAATGAGAGAGAATAAGAAGAATGAAAGAGCGCGCGAAAAGAGCGCGATTTTTTCACATGCGAGTTTTTCCACTTGAACAACACTGTTGCTATCGGGTCCAGTGCATTTCTTAAAAATCCTAAGATCTAACACAATTCACCGCATAGATCATCTCAGAGTCAAATGGTCAAACTTGAAAAAAATAGAGAACTTTTTATCCACGATACGTATCGTCAGGTTCCGTTTTTAAATTTCTTATGCTCTCGAAGCTTTTGTGCTATGTGGAAAATAGTCAGCTTGCCTCTTGCGTTGG